CAGGGAGCTCTGGCGTGGACTGGTCCATGAGGTCACGAAGAGTCGGAGACGACTGAACGAATGAACAACATCAATTAATCTACATTTTTTCCAAATACAGCACTTAAATTGCATTTCAGAGATATAAGATTAAAATAGCAAAAGAAAGCATTAATAGTAATTTTTGTTACTGCTTTAAGACTCATTATAGCCAAAAAATGGAAGGAAAATTATGATTACGAAATTGATAATTGGTACAAAGAGGTGTGGAACATCGCAGTAAATAACTTGTGAAATAAAATGTAAAAAGAAATGATTTTGAAGTAATATGGGGTGAATTCTTAATGTTAGTTGTCTGTGATTTGTATAATATATTTATTATTTTAAAAACCGGGGGACAGGGGGAATTCTGGAAATTCTCTTGGTTCATATTAATTTTCTTCGGTTCAGACCTTCTGTCAGAAATGTTTCGCTTCCCCTTAGAAAGATTGTTTACGGTGTTAAAAATAATATTGTGGAATATTTTATTTTATTGATGTGTTGTCGGGCTTGGCTTCATGTAAGCCGTTCCGAGTCCCTTGGGGAGATGATGGCGGGGTATAAATAAAGTATTATTATTATTATTATTATTATTATTATTATTATTATTAAATTGATAAATAAAATATTGAAGAAATTATATTCACATATTGTAACTCCATTAAAAATAATTAATAGGGTCTTGATATTGAAATTTGTGCTTTTGATTTCGTTTTCTCCAGTAAAATTTTGGAAATAAGTGCTCGACAACAACAATTATTTTCTTTGTTTTACAATTTGCAACGTTTCTTGCATTTGCATTCTTTCAATGCTGTAAATTAGCAAACCCCAAAGTTTCTGGAACTTCTAGTTCCTTTTGTAACAAAATGCTTTTCCTGCGGGTTGGACTAGATGTCCCATGTGGTCTCTTCCAACTCAATTATTCTGTGATTCTATGAAAAATATTTCTTCACGTTTTACCAGAAGCTGAAGCCAGCCTTTATGAAGGGTGTTGACAGTCACTTCACAGAATTTGTCAATGGCTTGGTTGCAAAGTCAGTGCTGCTGGAGTCTCCTCCGTCCGCCTTCCCAGCTGCGTGTACTGAGAAAGACAGCGTCAAAACTAAGTAAGTGTTTTTCTGTTTAGTTTATAAAAGAGTTTTACTGTTTCATCTTAAATGCTTCAATTTTTCTTCTTTTCACAGAGGATCAAGAGCGCCTACAGAACACGGAAAAGTTTTTATTGCTAGGAGATCCCTCTTGGAGTGAGTATGTTCAGAGAGCTTGTAACTTTCATTGGGGAGCCTTGGCTGTGTTAATGTTGTCCTGGTCTGATGGATGGATTCAGTTCTGGTGATCTGTAATGAACCACACTCATTTTGATTTAGCTTTGTTTTTTTTGTTTTCATTCAAAATCATAGAACCATAGAGTTGGAAGAGACCCCAAGGGCCATCCAATCCAACCCCCTGCCTTGCAGAAACATACCATATTTTCTGGCGTATAAGACTACTTTTTAACCCAAGAAAATCTTCTACAAAGTCAGGGGTCGTCTTATATGCAGGAGTAGTCTTATACGCTGGGGTTGTCTTATAGAGCGGGTGATGAAACTTCCAATCCAAATTGGAGAATCTGTGGTTGCCACATATTTTATTTATTTATTTATTATTCAAGCATATATGCTGCCGCTTCCCTGGGGCTCGGAACGGCTTACAAGAACTGGCTAAAATCGAACACAATTTTAAAACAATTTAAAACAATTTAAAAACAGCAATATCAGAGATCAAAAGCCCGTCGAAAAAGATATGTCTTACATGCCCTGCGGAAAGCTGATAAGTCCAGCAAGGCTCGAACTTCAGGTGGCAGAGTATTCCAGAGTGATGGTGCCACTGCTGTAAAGGCTCTGCGTCTGGTTGCTGTTAGACGCAAGGTCTTGACACTGGAAATTTCTAATAGATCTTGGTCCTCAGAACGGAGGGATCTCTGGGGTTGGTAGGGGGTGAGGCAGTCCCTCAGGTACATCGGCCCCAGACCATGCAAGGCCTTAAAGGTGAGTACCATCACTTTGAAAGTGATCCGGTGCTCAATTGGTAACCAATGCAGCTGTAGTAAGATTGGGGTTATGTGGCATCTCATCGGAATTCCCGCAGCTGCATTTTGTACCAACTTGAGCTTCTGGATCACCGACAGAGGAAGGCCAATGTAGAGGGCGTTACAGTAGTCCAGTCTTGAGATGACCGTAGCCTGGATCACCGTAACTAGGTCGTCCCTGGACAGGTAGGGGGCCAGCCGTCTAGCCTGCCACAGATGAAAAAAGGCGGTTCTGCTAACGGCGGAGACCTGGGCCTCCATTGTCAACAGAGGGTCCAAAAAGACTCCCAGAGTCTTTACCAATGATGACGGGCGAAGCGCCTCGCCATCCAGGGTAGGCAGCTGGATATCCCCACTGCCCGGTTGACCCAGCCATAGGATCTCCATCTTTGCTGGATTCACCCTCAACCTGCTGGCACGCAGCCATCCAGTAACGGCCTTGAGGCACTGATGGAAGTAATCGGGTACAGAGTCCGGTCGGCCTTCCATCTTCAGCACAAGTGTCATCAGCGTACTGGTAACACTCAAGCCCAAAACCTCGAACCAGCTGAGCACGTGGTCACATATAGATGTTAAACAACAGAGGGGAGAGAATGCCCCCCTGAGGGACCCCACAAGATAGAGGGGACCTCTCAGAGACCAGGCCTCCCCTCTCCACTCGCTGTCCAAGGTTGTGAAGAAAGGAGGACAGCCAATTTAAAGCTGTCCCCCTGACTCCAACAGCAGCAAGGCGGTGGGTCAAAAGATTGTGGTCGACTGTGTCAAATGCTGCTGTGAGATCCAATAACACGAGCAGCGCAGACCCGCCCTGGTCAAGCTGGCATCGAAGGTGATCCGTGATGGAGACCAGCACAGTCTCTGTCCCATGCCTCGCACGGAAGCCAGACTGGAAGGGATGTAGTCCGGCTCTGTTGTCTAAGAATTGCTGCAACTGCTCCGCTGCTGCCCTCTCAATCACCTTGCCCAGGAACGAGAGATTCGAAACTGGGCGGTAACTGGAGGGAACTGAAGAATCTAAATCTGGTTTCTTCAGCAGGGGAGAGACCACCGCCTCTTTTAAACCCTTTGGAAAAACTCATATGGTGGGAGGAGCTCTAAAATGGCAGTGGCCGCGTCCCTGCCATATGCAGCGACTGTATGAAAGCATTAAGGGCAGCGCTGTACAAGTACAGTAAAGAAAATCCATTCATCAGGATTCGTGGATTTAACGTGGTCCCGATGGTGAGGTGAAGGGGCGCCTCACCAGGAAGATGTAAGTGAAGGGTGGAGCAAGCTGTAGGCGTCCAGGGTGCCCAGGGTATGGAAAAAAGAGATAGAGTGGCTCTGGGCCCAGAAAAACACACCTCTTTTACCTGTCTGGCCTGCCCTTGTCTCCTATTACCATACCTCCTCCTCTGCCTCTCAGATCTCGCTCCTGAAGACTGCAGTGAAGTGATGCAGGTGCGCATGTGCGAGATCTGAGAGGCAGAGAAGGAGGTACAGTAATAGGAAAATTACCATATTGAAATCAAATCTGATGCTTTTAAATTTTTTATTTCTTGTGCATTGGAAGAGGGGTAGTCTTATACGGCGAATATATCCCAAACTGTCTATTTTAGCTGGAAAAGTTGGGGGTTGTCTTATACGCCCAGTTGTCTTATATGCTGGAATATACGGTACTTGGAATTTACTCAGAAACCATTGCAATTTTGCCCTTCATGTTAGTAGCAGAATGTCTACTTTGCTGTTGCTTTTGAAATAAATAACTTTTCAGGGACATGTCCCTGCTGTACTGACACTCAAGGACTAAAGGAGCATAAACATGTTCCTTGTTCCTGTTTTGGTAGATCTCAATGTTATTGGTTCTTCTGTTTGTTTAATTTGAAGGGCCTATCAACTAGACTAAAATTTCCACTATGCACGGTTTTCTTAAGCAAATGTTTATTGGGCTGCTTCAATAACTTATTAAAATATATTTATGGAGGTTTTCTTAATGCAATAAAACACAGTATCTATTTATTGTCGAAGGCTTTCATGGCCAGAATCACTGGGTTGTTGTAGGTTTTTTCGGGCTATATGGCCATGGTCTAGAGGCATTCTCTCCTGACGTTTCGCCTGCATCTATGGCAAGCATCCTCAGAGGTAGTGAGGTCTGTTGGAACTAGGAAAAAGGGGATTTATATATCTGTGGAATGACCAGGATGAGACAAAGGACTCTTGTAGGGCGCGGACATCCTGTGATAATGCAGCACGTCTCATTAAGAGCCATGTCCACTGTTTCAATGTGGTGAGATGTATTCCACACTGGGGTACATATTCAGCAGCAGAGTAGCAAATCATAAGGGCAGATATCTTCACTCTATCTGGTTGTGATCACCAGGTTGTGCCACTCAGCTTTCATATTATATTATTTCTAGTAACCTCTTTTTGCTTGATAGTCGAGCAGTGCTTCTTGTAAGTCAGAGCGCAGTCCAGGGTAACTCCCAGGTATTTGGGTGTGCTGTAATGCTCCAGTGGGATTCCTTCCCAGGTAATCCTTAGAGATCAAGACGCTTGTCTGTTCTTAAGAAGTTTGAGTTTTAGCTGGATTAAGAATCAGCAGTTTTTCGCTGTAATAGACAGTAAGAGCATCTAGAGGCATTTTCTCCTGACGTTTTGCCTGCATCTATGGCAAGCATCCTCAGAGTTAGTGAGGTCTGTTGGAACTAGGAAAAAGGATTTATATATCTGTGGAGTGACCAGGGGGGGGGGGCAAAGGACTCTTGTCTGCTGGAGCTAGGTGTGAATGTTCCAACTGACCACCTGGATTAGCATATAATGGCCTGACAGTGCCTAGAACAAACTTTTGTTGAGAGGTGATTAGATGTCCTTGTTTGTTTCCTCTCTGTTGTAATTTTAGTTTTTTTTAATACTGGTAGCCAGATTTTGTTCATTTTCATGGTTTCCTCCTTTATGTTGAAATTGTCCGCATGCTTGTGGATTTCAATGGCTTCTCTGTGTAGTCTGACATGGTGGTTGTGAGAGTGGTCCAGCATTTCTGTGTTCTCAGATAATATGCTGTGTCCAGGTTGGTTCATCAGGTGCTCTGCTATGGCTGATTTCTCTGGTTGAAGAACAACAACAAAGAGGAAACAAACAAGGACATCTAATCACCTCTCAACAAAAGTTTGCTCTAGGCACTGTCAGGCCATTATATGCTAATCAAGGTGGTCAGTTGAAACATTCACACCTAGCTCCAGCAGACAAGAATCCTTTGTCCCACTCTGGTCATTCCACAGATATATAAACCCCCTTTTTCCTAGTTCCAACAGACCTCACTACCTCTGAGGACGCTTGCCATAGATGCATGTGAAATGTCAGGAGAGAATGCCTCTAGGCCATAGCCATATAGCCCGAAAAAACCTACAACAACCCACGGTATCTATTTTTGTTGCAGTACCAGACTTCACAATGGTAGTTTGCAATACATTTCATGTTTTGTGCCAGTGTCTTGTGGAGGTTGTCTTCTTGGAAAGATAGATATGGAGACCTAATACTAGAATGAGACTTTATTGTGGTCAGAATCTGGTTTTTAGCTCAAATGAGAGATCAGAGGTACAACAGGGATTTGGGGGTTATGTCCTCATTTTCCCTTAATTGTATCATTAAAACATGGTGGGATAAGAAGAGGGGAACAGAATAGCAGATCGGCTTCTGTGGATTCTGATATCTGTATAATCTTTCCTACTGTGGCACAGCTGTCAGAGTGTCAGCTGCATTAAGATCACTTCTGACCAAAAGGTCATGAGTTCGAAGCCAGCCTGGGTCGGAGTGAGCTTCCGACCAATTGTGTAGCCTGTTGTCGACCTTTGCAACCCAAAAGACAGTTGTATCTGTCAAGTAGGAAAATTAGGTGCCACCTATGTGTGGGGAGGCAAATTTAACTAATTTACGAGGCCATAAAAAAGACACACTCAAGCAAAAGCATGGGGGGAATGCAGAAGTACTTCATCAGTGTCGCAGATGGATGATGAAAGCGACAGCTCCCCTGGCAGCCAGAAAAGTTAAATAGCCTCTGACTGTCTGTCTATATCTGTTGTGTGTATTTGGCATTGAATGTTTGCCATATATGTGTACACTGTAATGCACCCTGAGTCCCCTGCGGGGTGAGGACGGTGGAATATAAATACTGTAAATAAATAATTACACTAACCAGATAAACCTTGCAAAGCCAAGATTCCCTAGCATGGAATGGGATGTCATTTGTGTAATTTTAAAGGCGATGAAAGCAGGGATATCTGTTTTGAAACAACATACAGGAAATTACGTTACCTCTCAATGCAAAACAAAAAAGATAATTTCCAGTAATTCAATCCAATGCATGTTGATAATTGAATGATCCTTCATAGAAACTGTGTTCTGAAAGAGAGCATTGCCATGCTTATTAGTAGGTAAAAAGCTCAAATTTTAGTGTGACCTCGACCGGCTGCGCATGTCCTTCTGTGCAAAACTCCTAAAGACACTCAGGTTGTTACAGTGTCTATATCAGGGGTCCTCAAACTACGGCCCGGGGGCCGGATACGGCCCTCCAAGGTTATTTACCCGGCCCTCGCTCAGGGTCAAGCTAAGTCTGAAATGACTTGAAAGCACACAACAACAACAATCCTATCTCATCAGCCAAAAGCAGGCCCACACTCCCCATTGAAATACTAATAAATTTATATTTGTTTAAATTGTTCTTCATTTTAATTATTTCATTGTTTTAAGTGTTTTTTGCACTACAAATTAGATATGTGCAGTGTGCATTCATTCATGGTTTTTTTTCCAAATTATAATCTGGCCCTCCAACAGTTTGAGGGACTGTGACGTGGACCTCTGTTTAAAACGTTTGAGGACCCCTGGTCTATATAGTCATCTCCAAGTCATAGACTTTCAGCACTTCCGGTAAGAATATAATGATGAGGAGTGTGAAGTCATACATGCTTTCCTAAAATGTTCCAACGTATTTTTTCCACTTTCCACTTTTTTTCTCAGTGAGCTATTTGAAGTGGATCACATCCAGACCATCTATCACATGTTCATTGCCCTCCTCATCTTGTTCATTCTCAGCACACTTGTGGTTGACTTTATTGATGAAGGAAGGTAAGAACTTTGAACTATTAAATGTTTTGATTTTAAATTATGGACATTTTTCAAACAGGAATCAATGAAGCCATCATCTCATCTCCAGGAAATGTGGGGATTTTCAGGTGATTTGAACATAGGCCCTTTCTACAGTGCCATATAAAATCCAGATTATCTCTTTGAACTGGATTATATGGCAATGTAAACTCATACAATCCAGTTCAAAGAAGATTATATGGCAATGTAATCTCGTATAATCCAGTTCAAAGAAGTTCACAGTTGTCCATGCTCTCGTTACATCTAGGATAGACTACTGCAGTGCACTCTACATGGGGTTGCCTTTGAAGACTGCTCGGAAGCTTCAAATAGTCCAACGAGAGGCAACCAGGCTAATAACTGGGACGGCATAAAGGGAGCATACAACTCCCATGTTACGCCAGTTCCACTGGCTGCCAGTTTGCCTCCGGGCACAATTCAAAGTGCTGGCTTTGGCCTATAAAGCCCTAAATGGCCCTGGCCCAAATTACCTGTCCGAACGCACCTCCCCCTATGAACCATCGTGGAGATAATATCCTCCGGGGAGGTCCTGCTTTCTGTCCCGCCATTGTCACAGGTGCGATTGGTGGGGATGAGAGACAGGGCCTTCTCGGTGATTGCTCCCCGGCTATGGAACTCCCTGGTGAGATCAGGTTGGCCCCCTCCCTCCTGTCCTTTAGAAGGATGGTACAAACTTGACTGTGGGACCAAGCTTTCGGGACAGGGAAATAAAGGGTTTTTTTTTTGTTTTTGTCGTGTCAGAAGCGGCTTGAGAAACTGCAAGTCGTTTCTGGTGTGAGAGAATTGGCCGTCTGCAAGGACGTTGCCCAGGGGACGCCCGGATGATTTGATGTTTTATCATCCTTGTGGGAGGCTTCTCTCATGTCCCCGCATGAGTAGCTGGAGCTGATAGAGGGAGCTCATCCGCCTCTCCCCGGATTTGAATCTGTGATCTGTCAGTCAGGGCTCAGGGAAATGAAGTGGCAATAGGAAAGATTACCAGGACAAAGATTTGACACAGATGACTGGGACGGTTTTAAATGGTGTATTTTAATATTTTGATAATTTTTTTTAATGTTTATGTATTGTATCTGTGTCCTGGCATTGAATGTTTGCTGTGTATATACTGTGCTCCGCCCTGAGTCCCCTTTGGGGTGAGAAGACCCTTTGGGGTCTTAAATAAATAAAATAAATAATGTGGATTTTCTTCTTTGATAATCTGGATTGTATCTGGTAGAATAAAACATCCGGTGGAGTAATGCAGCCTGTCCTCAACTCGGCACCTTCCAGAACAGTTGGGCGACATCTCCCATCATCCCCAGTTACATGACCATTGGTCACTGGCCATGTGACTTGGGGATTATGGGGCCCATTTGCTCAAGATCTTTGGAAGGCATCAAGTTAGAGAGTGCCGTTTTCTTCAAATTTTATTTGAAGAAAAAAGGGGCCACCGTTTCTAACAGACTGAGAAAAGAGGGTCTGGTTCAATCACAGGCGTGAAGACATGAATCAGGGGATTGTTTGAAATGGGATCAAAGACACCAATCTGAGCCTGCCGTATAGCACTTGTATTTCCGATAACTATGCTAATAGGAGGAGAAAATCATATATGTTCTACAGCTCAAGATGTTGTGGTAGGTTTCTCTCCATTGAAATCTCAGCCCCCTTCTACACTGTCATATACAATCCAAATTATCTGCTTTGAACTGGATTATATGGCAGTGTGAACTCATATAATCCAGTTCAAAGCAAATAAGGTGAATTATATGGCAGTGCAGAAGGAACAAGTACTGTATACACTCCTGAGTGCGAAACCTTGATTGATACACAACCCTTTTCTCTTTCCGTGGGGTTGCCTGGTTTACAGGCAGTCTACAGAGAGAGCCAAAGCTTGCCAACCACCATATTGTTTCTCTTGTACCTAATAAAGAGACTGCTGTTGACTGAAAAAGTAGTATTTTGGATATGTCCTTGGCACCACTGCCTTAAGAGGATTTGCCTTGCCAAATTCTCTACGTGGAATAATGGAGCTAATTATAAATACGTAGTTTGTTTTCAGCTGTACTAGAACATCCCTAGCAAAGATTGTACCAAAATAGCTGTACTGGTCGAATACACCCCAAAACGTAACAAGTGAAGGTTCCCAACTATTTTGAATAAAGGTCACCTTTTTGACAAAACTCACAATTCAGGAACTTTTTGCTATGCCTTTCAGGTAGACAGATTCTTGCTACCGCTTTTGCCCATTGTTGAAATTTTGGTGTGGAGTTGTGCATACTAGTTTGCCTTCTGCTTTCCAGAAAGCTGCTATTCTTTACACACTTTAATTCTAAGAGCCTCATAGGAAATCCATAGAACTTACATCTGAGTAAGTGTCTCCCAGACTATTGGCTCTCAGATTTTGGTGGATTACAGCTCCCAACATCCCTCACCGTAGGCCATTCTTGCTGTTGATTCTGGGAGCTGAATTTGACCATGTGCTTGTTGAATAATGCTGTTATGTACATATGTTCCATTAAACTAAGTGATGCTTTCTTCTGAATAGTTTGTGATTTAAATTGTGCATCAGTTAATTTGAAGCTATCAACAGCCATGGGATGCAGAGCAGACCACTCAGGGACTAGGGGTCATTTCTCATAATATGAAACAACAAAGCCATAGTTGCCACAACTATACAGTGGGGGGGGGGGGAGTATTTAGTCAGACACCAATTGTACAAGTTCTCCCACTTAAAAAGATGAGAGTGGCCTGTAATTGACATCATAGGTAGACCTCAACTATGAGAGACAGCATGAGAAAACACATCCAGAAAATCACATTGTCTGATTTTTAACAAATTTATTTGCAAATTATGGTGGAAAATATGTATTTGGTCACCTACAAACAAGCAAGATTTCTGGGTCTCACTGACCTGTAACTTCTTCTTGAAGAGGCTCCTCTGTCCCCCGTTCATTACCTATAGTAATGGCACCTATTTGAACTTGCTATCAGTATAAAAGACATCTGTCCACAACCTCAAGCAGTCACACTCCACACTCCAAACTCCAAGCTATGGTGAAGGCCAAAGAGCTGTTGAAGGACACCAGAAAGAAAATGGTCACCCTGCACCAAACTGGGAAGACTAAATCTGCAATAGGCAATCAGCTTGATGTGAAGAAATCAACTGTGGGAGCCAAAATTAGAAAATGGAAGAGATACGGGACCATTGATAATCTCCCTTGATCTTGGGCTCCACGCAAGATCTCACCCTGTGGGGTCAAAATGATCACAAGAACAGTGAGCAAAAGTCCTAGAACCATATAGTGAATGATCTGCAGAGAGCTGGGACCAATGTAACAAAGGCTACCATCAGTAACACACTACGCCAGCAGGAATTCTGATCCTGAAATGACAGACATGTCCCCCTGCTTAAGCCAGTACATGTCTGGGACCGACTGAAGTTTGCTAGAGAGAATTTTGGAAGATCCAGAAGAGTATTGGGAGAATGTCATATGGTCAGATGAAACCAAAGTAGAACTGTTTGGCAGAAACACAACTCTGTCGTGGTTGGAGGAGAAAGAATGCCAAGTTGCACCCAAAGAACACCATCCCTACTGTGAAGCATGGAGGTGGCAACCTCATGCTTTGGGGCTGTTTCTCTGCAAAGGGACCAGGGCGACTGATCCATATACATGAAAGAATGAATGAATGGGGCCATGTGTCATGAGATTTGGAGTGCAAACCTCTTTCCATCAGCAAGGGCACTGAAGATGAAACGTGGCTAAGCATGACAATGATCAGCATGACAATGATCCCAAGCGCACCACCAGGGCAATGAAGCAGTGGCTTCGTAAGAAGCATTTCAAGGTCCTGGAGTGGCTTGGCCAGTCTCCAGATCTCAACCCTATAGAAAACCTTTGGAGGGAGTTGAAAGTCCCAAAACATCATTGGTCTTGAGGAGATTTGCATGGAGGAATGGGCCAACATACCAGCAACAGGGTGTGCCAACCTTGTGAGAACTTACAGAAAACGTTTGACCTCTGTCGTTGCCAGTAAAGGATATATAACAAAGTATTGAGATGAACTTTTGTTATGGACCAAGTACTTCTTTTCCACCATAATTTGCAAATAAATATGTTAAAAATCAGACAATGTGATTTTTTCAATGTGTTTTCTCATATTGTCTCTCATAGTTGAGGTCTACCTATGATGTCAATTACAGGCCTCACATCTTTTTAAGTGGGAGAACTTGTACAATTGGTATCTGACTAAATACTCCCCCCCCCCCCAACTGTATACTAACTTTCACGTTTGCAGTATTATCTGCAAACACATGTCAAACTCAAGGCCCATGGACTGAATCTAGCCCACCGTGACAGTGTATGTGGCCAGATTGCAACTCTTGTTTTCCTCATTATTTGACATTATTAGAGCTAACGGGCGTTGTGATAAAGTAACCCCTGGAAGGCTACAGTGTGCTCCATTTTTTAGGGTAATGGCATTTGAATTTGTGCAAATAATGTCTGATTTAAGATCCTTTAAGCTTTCCCCAACCTCAGAGCCATAACTCCTGCTGAGTTGCAATTCCCATCACTTCCAGATAATAAAAGTGATGGGAGTTGTCATTCAGTAACATCTGGGTACTCAAACTGGGTAAGAACTAAATAGTTAGTCCACTGTACCCACAGATTCTTCATTCATGGATTCTTCATTATGGTCACCTTTGAAGTCGACCATAAGGCTCATGTGGCCTTTGATGAAAATGAGTTTGGCACCCCTAATGTATATACTTTAAAAAGTGGTATGTGGAATGCCCTCCTTGATATAAGAATTAGTAGCTGTTAAGGATTGCACCTGCAAAAATATATTTTAACACATATTGGGCTTAACATTTTGCTTTCCTTTTGTTTTCATCTCTTTGAAGGTTGGTGCTAGAATTTGATCTCCTGGTCTACGCTTTTGGCAAATTTTCTGTCGTTGCTCCTACTTGGCTCTACATGTTCCTGTTCACCCTGGTTGTGCCTTATGGGCTCTTTCACCATTGGGCCACGGGTTACCCTAGTTCCAACCACAAAATCATCCGCTCCGTCTTCTTTGGGTCTTTCTTCATAATGTTCCAGATGATTTGCCTTGGATTGGTGCCTTTATACATTACATTGACCTATGAGCTGCCGCCAGCCTCTTGTTTCATCGTCATACTTGAACAGGTGGGTTTTGGTACCTGAGATGTGGGGAATGTGGACTTTACACTGTCTTTATATCTCAGGATCCTGATCCCAGTTGATCTGCTTATCCCAGATTATTTGGCAGTGGAGACTCATATAATCCAGTTCAAAGCAGCTAACCTGGGATCAGATCCTGGGATATAAGGGCAGTGTAGAAGAGGCCTAAGTCCACTTTTCATAAATGTGTTTAAAGTATGTATTTGAATTTGAGAGCCAGTTTCTTGTGTATATAGAAAAAAATTATACTTTCTTCCTACTGTTTTTCTAAGTTATCAGTGGAGAGAAAATATTTAGTTAAAAGTCTTAATTGACAAAATGTTTCCCCTAAACATCAACTTATGATTTTGGATTATGTGCCACTTTTAGGTCTGGCTGAGATGTGGTCACAAGCAAGATCATGGATGTATGGCTTTAATATATGTAGCTATGTATTCTTTCCTTTTTCACCTGTGCTTGAAAGGAAAATCAGTTGCAGAAATTGTTTACTTTTGGTTAATATTAAGTGGAATATACTAGTCATCGTTTGTAGTTGTGTTCAAAGAATTTTGAGGGAAATGAGAATTTATAAGAAATATCAGTATTACTGCAACAATAAATTCATCCCTTCAAAACATAATGCTACATAATGAAAAGTTTGAGGTGCAAAAAGAGTAGATGAATAATAATACAGTAGACGATCAGTTAACCAGAACTCAAGTGACTGAAATTCTCAAGTAACTGGCAAAAAAAAGCCCAACACTGCATTCACAAAACTTTTTCTAATACAGTAAATGTTACATTAAGTTGAGTTTGTTTTTATTTGCTTTTTATATTAAGATCAAGTTAATATAGAGTTTATGGTATGCTTTAAGATGGTGTATAGTATTAGGCCTATTTTTAAACGTCACTCTAAAGCAACCAGATATTACATTTATCCGACAGTTCTCATGAGTGCTGGTTAACTGAGAGTCTACTGTATTTAGCTTATGGCAGATGTGGTAAATCTAATAATAATAATCTTCTATATAAATAAAAATGTAATATTCGTTTGTGGGATTAACATAACTCAAAAACCACTGGATGAATTGACACTAAGTTTGGACTCAAGACACCTAGCAGGCCAACGAGTGACCATCAAAAAACCGAAAAGCACAGCGGAAGCCAAAAAACCAAAAATACATTACAATGTATGCGCGAAACCACACATATACACAAACACACATATATGCATATATACACACACAAAACACATATACACAGACTGGGCCACAGCAATGCGTGGCAGGTGATGGCTAGTAAATAATAATAATAATTATAATAATAATAATAATAATAATAATAATAATAATAATAATAAATTTATTTATATTCCACCCTTCTCCCCTAGGGGACTCAGGGTGGATTACAACATTTGCATACACAGGCAAACATTCAATGCCTTTACAATCATATACGATGGAGCAGACAAATACAAACAAAGGCAGAGGTTTCTCCTTTCATTTCCAGCTTCTGGATGTGGTGCTCATCTTTGGCTCTGGGGAGGTGCTTCCTCCATTTTCAAGCAGAGGAGCCTGTGTTGTCACCTCCTGGTTGTGTAGCCAGCAAGATTGCTTGGAGCATGTCTTTGCCTTTTCCCACTGAAGCGATACCTATTTATCTACTAACATTTGCATGTTTCGAACTGCTAAGTTGGCTGGAACTGGAGCTGACAGACAGGAACTCACCACATCTAACAGATTTGAACTGCTGACCTTCAGGTTAGCAGTTTAGCAGCACAGGGGTTTAACCCATTGTGCCACCGTGGCTCCTAGATTTAGATCTACTGACAAAAAAGATTTCATGAAAACGTTTTGTTCTTATCTTTAAATATATATACCGTATATATTCGAGTAAAAGCCAACCTGAATATAACCCAAGGCACCTAATTTTACCACAAAAAACTGGGAAAACGTATTGACTTGAGTATAAGCCGAAGTTGGGAAATGCAGCAGCTACTGCTAAATTCCAAAATAAAAATAGATTCCAATACTATGACATTAATTGAGGCATCAGTAGGTTAAATGTTTTTGAATATTTACATAACACTGTAATTTAAGATATGACTTCCAACTCTGATTAAACCATGATACCAACCTTTTCCAGTGTAAATGTGCTTGCGTATCCTTCCAATAATAATAAAGAGAGTAAAATAATAAATGTAATAATAATAATAATAGAGTAAAATAATGGAAATATATTAATAATAAGAGTAATAATAGAGTAAAATAATAAACATAATGACAACAATAATAAAGTAAAATAATAAATGTAGTAATAATAATAGAGTAAAATGATAAATGCAATAATAATAGTATTAATAAACAGAGTAAAATAATAAATGTAATAACAACAACAACAACAACAACAACAACAACAATAATAGAGTTAAATAATAAATAATCTTGACTCGAGTATAAGCCGAATGAGACTTTTTCAGCCTAAAAAAGGGCTGAAAAACTAGGCTTATACTTGAGTATATACAGTAGTTTGCAAAATAATGGCATACATTTCCAATTTTTTTTGTAATTTCTCATTATGTTTGTGCAACACACTGCAGCTGACATGCTAACATATTGCAAGAAACAGTTTGAAAAACTCTGCCCTAGGAGAATTCAATAAGTGGTGGGTCCATCCTAGCTATGCGTATATGTGTGTGTGTGTGTGTGTTTCTAATTCTGAAATGAGTTTTTAGATATTGGAGGTTTAGTCTTGTTTAAAAAGTTTTTAGTAAGCCTGAGTCTGTCCACTGACAAGGGAAAAAAACAAACAAAACCTCTAATCTTGGAAAAATGATGAACACTTTTTAATTGATCTTCTAAATCTTCCTTGCAGGTGCGCCTGGTGATGAAATCCCATTCTTACATAAGGGAAAATGTTCCTCGGGTGATTTCCTGCCCCCCTCAGAAATCAAGTGAGTCATGTTGTCCTGTTAAAAGTTCTGTAGTTTTGTGATAGCTTTAGTTATTTTCAGATCAGTATCATAAGATAAAAAATATCAGAAAAGCCACTTCATTGAATTTTTTTTAAGAAAGTAGAAGTGTATGTTGCTAAATTTTGGGTGTAATAAACCAGGGGTCCTCAAACTAAGGCCCGGGGGCCAAATACAGCCCTCCAAGGTCATTTACCCGGCCCTCGCTCAGGATCAAGCTAAGTCTGAAATGACTTGAAAGCACACAACAACAACAACAACAACAACAATCGTATCTCATCAGCCAAAAGCAGGCTCACACTTCCCATTGAAATACTAATAAGTTTATATTTGTTAAAATTGTTATTCATTTTCATTATTGTATTGTTTTAAGTATTTTTGTGCTACAAATAAGATATGTGCAGTGTGCATAGGAATTTATTCATGCTTTTTTTCAAATTATAATCCGGCCCTCCAACAGTTTGAGGGACTGTGACCTGGCCCTCTGTTTAAAAAGTTTGAGGACTCCTGTAATAAATAATCATATAGTCATAGAGAATGGGACAGAAAATCTAGCTTTTAAGCATGTGTTACGATCTAACTAATTGTCTTTTTTTCTGCCTGCTCTTCAGATTCTCTGCAGCTTCCTCAAGTTTCCCAGTACTTGTATTTCCTCTTTGCTCCCACCCTTATTTACAGAGATCATTATCCCAGGTAATGTCAATATGAAAGAACAGTTGCAAGTGACAACTTAATTTCCTCTCCTTCTTGAATATTTTGTTTTACTGAGGCATTTGCTTGTATTGACGCCACTGTTCAAACAGATGGTGATCTTTACTGGGCACAAAATCCTCCAGGGCAGGGGAAGGGAACAGACGCTTGTTGGACACGAGAGCCTATCATTCCTCGCTTTTGGGTGTAATGCCTAATTCTGATAAGAATTGTCCAACACCTGAACCAACTTTGGAAAAAAATGTGAAGGACAGTGTACCTTTTCAGAATCCAGGAGATGGAAATAATAAATAATAATAAAACTTTATTTATACCCCGCCACCATCTCCCCAAGGGGACTCGGAGCGTCTTACATGAGACCAAGCCCGACAACACATCAATAAAACAAAATGCAATAAGCAAAAATAATACAATTAATATAACTCACATATAAACAATAACACGCAAGGATTTAAAAAACCGGTGGCCGGGCCAAATGTAATAGTTTAAAATTTAAAAAATAAACACTGGGCATAAACAGAGGTAGGATGTTTCTGGTAGGAGGGTTTTAAAAGAAATGAAGGGAGAGCAACCCAGTGAGTAGTTAAAGTGCTTCTGAGGACATTTTGCTGGGAATTATTTCCTTATTCAGGGAAGGCACACTGGAACACCCACATTTTCAGGCTCCTCCTAAAGACTGCCAATGTGGGGGCTTGTCTGATATCCTTAGGAAGTGAGTTCCAGAGTCGGGGGGCCACCACAGAGAAGGCCCTCTCCCTCGTCCCCACCAATCGTGCCTGCAAAGGGGGCGGGAGTGAGAGCAGGGCCTCTCCAGATGATTGAAGAGATTGCGTGGGTTCGTACACAGAAATGAGGTCATGCAGGTAGGCGGGTCCCAAACCATTCTGGGCTTTGTAGGTAAAAACCTGCAACTTGAATTGAGACCGGAAAATGAATGGCAGCCAGTGGAGCTCCTTAAACAGGCGGGTTGACCGCTCCCTGTAAGTCGCTTCAGTTAGTAACCTGGCTGCTGCCCGCTGGACCAATTGAAATTTCCGAGCCGTCTTCAAGGGCAGCCCCACGTAGAGTGCATTGCAGTAATCCAATCTGGAGGTGCCTAAGAAATGGACCACCCTGGCCAGATCCGACTTCATGAGGTATGGCTGCAGCTGGTACATGAGTCTTAATTGTGCAAAGGCCCTTCCAGCCACCGCCGATGCCTGGGCTTCAAGCGTTAGTGATGAGTCCAGGAGGACACCCAAGCTGCAGACCTGTGACTTCAGGGGGAGTGCAATCCCATCCAGCACAGGTTGCCACCCTATACCCCGATCCAGCTTATGATCAACCAGGAGGACCTCTGTCTTGTCAGGATTGATCCTCAGCTTATTCATTCCCATCCAGACCGTCACAGCCGCCAGGCACTCATCCAGTACCCGAGGGGCTTCCTTGGAATTAGGTGGAAAAGAGTAGTAGAGTTGGGTGTCATCTGTGTAGAGATGGCACCCAACTCCAAAACTCCGGATGACCTCTCCCAGTGGTTTCATGTAGATGTTAAAAAGCATGGAGGACAGAATGGAACCTTGCGGGACCCCACAGGTCAAAGGCCAGGGGTCCAAGCAGGTGTCCCCCATTTTCACGTGATCAATATTTTTGATCACGTGAAAATAGAGGATCCTGTTGAAAAACATCAGGAAAATGCTGTCCCCTTTCCTGACATGGAAGATTCCTCTATGTGAGGACCTTTTGCAGAGTTTTTGACCCTAGTTACCGGCGGATTGTGAATGCTGTACCTCAAAAACCTCCACAAAATGTTTTTCATGCTCTGCTTCTTTGCAGTGAAGCCTCACTGGAACACAGTTTGGCTGGCTCTTTACTTTTCTGAAGTTCTCTGCAAGGGCTGCTTGCCTTTTCTTCTGCAAAATACTCAAATTAGTGGTGAGTTTGGCAGAATGATATGCACTCGGTGCTTTTAAATAATGGATGAGAGCAACTCATTGTAGTTGCTCCAGTGCCGAATTGATCCGATTTCTTTTGTGCCTTCAGCAAGCTTGTACAGACATTTTGTTTATCGCTAAGATCTGTCTGATTCTGACCACTTTGGTTTCAGAAATGTTCTAGTCTTCATATTGATAGTGAATTCTTAAAATAAATGCATGCACACATAGGCCCCATCTACACTGCCATATAAAAATTAGATGATATGTTATGAACTGGATTATATGGGTCTACACTGGACTGTGGTGCAGCTGGCTGGGAGTCAGCTACATTAAGATCGCTACTGACCAAAAGGTCATGAGTGCGAAGCCAGCCCATGTTGGAGTGAGCTTCCGACCAATTTTTGTAGCTTGCTGTCAACTTTTGCAGCCCGAAAGACAGTTGCATCTGTCAAGTAGGAAATTTAGGTACTGCGTATGCGGGGAGGCTAATTTAACGAATTTCCCATGCCATAAAAATCTCCACAAGCATGCAAAGAATGAGGAAGCACTTAATCAGTGTCACAAATGGACGGTGAAGAAACAGCTCCCCTGGTGGCCAAAATACCCTAATCAAAAAGCTGGAATGTTAAGTAGCCCCTGTGTGTCTGTCTATATATGTTGTGTGTCTATGACATTGAATGTTTGCCATGTATATGTACATTGTGATCTGCTCTGAGTCCCTTGCGGGGTGAGAAGGGTGGAATATAAATACTATAAATAAATAAATACACTGCTATATAATTCAGTTCAAAGCAGATAATATGGATTTTATATGGCAGTGTAAAAGGGACCTCCATCCTAGGATCTGATCCGAGGTTATCTTATTTGAATTGGATTATATGAGTCTACTCTGCCATATAATCCTGTTCAAAGCAGATCATCTGAATTTTATATGGCGGTATAGAAGGGGCCTCTTATAATCCAGTTTGGGGATTATCTGGTTTGATAATCTGGATTATATGACAATGTAGAAGGTGCAATGGTTTCAGAACTCGGTTCTAGATTTTTCTGTGTTATAGGATTGCGGTGTAGCTTCCAAATCCTTCTACTTTCCCTCAGTCTATATATCCCTTCCTATTCTTAGTCATTTGCCATTTGCCAGCAAATATGGAAAACACAAGAATGGCCAGACTGGAAAAAATCAACTTAAATCCCCATACCAAAAAGGGAAATGCTAAAGACTGCTCAAACGTTCGTACAGTGGCCCTTATTTCTCATGCCAGTAAGGTAATGCTCAAGATCCTGCAAGGAAGACTCCAGCAATACATGGAGTGAGAGTTGCCAGATGTTCAAGCTGGGTTTAGAAAAGGCAGAGGAACGAGAGACCAAATTGCCAATATCCGCTGGATAATGGAGAAAGGCAGGGAGTTTCAGAAAAACATCTACTTCTGCTTCATTGACTATTCTAAAGCCTTTGACTGTGGATCATAATAAATTGTGGCAAGTTCTTAGTGGGATGGGCATCCCAAGCCACCTTGTCTCTCTCCTGAGGAATCTGTACAAGGACCAAGTAGCAACAGTAAGAACTGACCACGGAACAACAGACTGGTTCAAGATTGGGAAAGGCGTACGGCAAGGCTGCATCCTCTCACCCAACCTGTTTAACTTGTATGCAGAACACATCATGCGATGTGCGGGGCTGGATGAATGCAAAGCTGGGGTGAAAATTGCTGGAAGAAACATTAACAACCTCAGATATGCAGATGACACCACTCTGATGGCCGAAAGCGAGGAGGAGCTGAGGAGCCTTCTAATCAAGGTGCAAGAAGAAAGCGCAAAAGCTGGGTTGCAGCTAAACATAAAAAAAAACAAGATTATGGCAACAAGAATGATTGACAACTGGAAAATAGAGGGAGAAAATGTGGAGGCTGTGATAGACTTTGTATTTCTAGGTGAAAGATTACTGCAGATGCAGACTGTGGCCAGGAAATCAGAAGACGCTTACTTCTTGGGAGGAGAGCAATGTCCAATCTCGATAAAATAGTAAAGAGTAGAGACATCAGACTGGCAACAAAGATCCGCCTAGTCAAAGCCATGGTATTCCCTGTAGTAACCTATGGATGTGAGAGCTGGACCTTAGGGAAGGATGAGCGAAGGAAGATCGATGCTTTTGAGCTGTGGTGTTGGAGGAAAGTTCTGAGAGTGCCTTGGACTGCGAGAAGATCCAACCAGTCCATCCTCCAGGAAATAAAGCCCGACTGCTCATTGGAGGGAAAGATACTAGAGACAAAGTTGAAGTACTTTGGCCACATCATGAGGAGACAGGAAAGCCTAGAGAAGACAATTATGCTGGGGAAAGTGGAAGGCAAAAGGAAGAGGGGCCGACCAAGGGCAAGATGGATGGATGGCATCCTTGAAGTGACTGGACTGACCTTGAAGGAGCTGGGGGTGGTGATGGCCGACAGGGAGCTCTGGCGTGGGCAGGTCCATGAGGTCACGAAGAGTCGGAGACGACTGAACGAATGAACAACAACATTCTTAGTCAGACATATAAATATAAGCATAGTTGTAATAATAATAATGACAATGATGATGCAAACTTGCAGTTCAGAATGAAGTATGCAATTTGATCAGATTTTTTCAGATCATTAAATATTTGAATGATATTTTAACACACTCTTGTACTGGATCAGAATTTCAATTAAGATTGCTGCAAGATGTAATAGCCTTATTCAGGAATTTCTTAGAAAACCCTTTTAGAGGAAGGAGTCAAGTTTCAACAGACAGCAAAAAAGGCAGTGTGTTAGTGTAATGCTTTGTTTCTTTCTTTTTTCATAGGACTCCCACAAGAAGATGGAGCTATGTAGCTACCAAGTTTGCGCAGGTTAGTGATTATTTTTCCTGGAAGGGAAACTGCCGACGAAGAAATATGGCCAAAGGTTGCAGCTTCCTTGTTTATTTGCCTCTTAATTTCTTATTGCTTTCTTCTGTTTTCAACACAAAGGGTTTAGGTTACCCTTGGCAGCTTTGGACATTCAGTGAATGTAACTAAAGCCAGGATCTAAACCAAGTAATTACTGTTGGTGTAGACACAATTTATAGGCCAGATATCTGGATATTGTCAATGACATTAATCAGTCTGCTTTTGTTCCTTTTTTGTGTTGTTTTTTCCTGTCTTGTCCAGATACTTGGCTCCCTCTTTTATGCTTACTACATCTTTGTTCGACTTTGTATTCCTACATATCGTAACTTTAGTCGGGAGAACTTCAATCTACGAGGCTTAGTCCTTTGTATCTTCAACTCTATTCTTCCAGGTGAGTATTTTTGTGCTCATATTCCATCAGGAGCAATAAAATGAAGTTGTGATAGATATAATAACTTGTAACAGTACAGAGTGATAAATAACTGTTAAGGGTCTCCTTCCTTCAGCTACTAGCTTTGCAATTCACTTGACTTTGTAGGCTTCCTGCATATCAGTTAGTAGGGAAACACGTAAATCAAACAGTGTAAATGTCAGAAAATAATGGCATTCCATCTGGGTTTTTAGACTAAAAACATGCTTTGTGGGATGTCCATTTTTAATACTAATACTTGCCTTCCCCTGCCACGCGTTGCTGTGGCCCAGTCTAGTGATCTGGAAAATCAAGTAATGTGAAAGTATTGGTATATGTAATTTCTTTCTGCTTGTGGGTAAGCAGTATTTCTTGCTATTTCTTTCTCAGTGTTGATGTGGAGATTGTCTGGTTTGCCTACTCTGGAACATGCAACGTATTATTGTCCTTGTTTAGGGGTTCCTTTTAAATCTAGGATACTATATCTGTGTGTGTGTGTGTGAATCATATCTATCTGTCTATATCTATGGCTGGATGGCTCTTTGTCAGGAGGGCTTTGATTACGTTTTCTTGCTCTGGTGAAGGGAGTTGGACTGGAAGGCCTTAAGTATTTTCTGTTGGTCATGGGGGTTCTCTGTGGGAAGTTTGCCCCAATTCTGTCGTTGGTGGGTTTTCAGAATGCTCTTTGATTGTAGGTGAACTATAAATCCCAGTAACTGCAAATCCCAAATGTCAAGGTCTATTTCCCCCAAACTCCATTCATGTGCATATTTGAGCATATGGAATATTTGTGTCAAGTTTGGTCCAGATCCATCATTGTTTGAGTCCACAGTGCTCTCTGGATGGAGGTGAACTACAACTCCCAAACTCAAGGTCAATGCCCACCAAACCCTTCTAGTGTTTTCTGTTGGTCATGGGAGTTTTGTGTGCCACATATGGTTCAGTTCCATCATTGGTGGAGTTCAGAATACTCTTTGATTATAGGTTAACTTTAAATCCAAGCAACTACAACTCCCAAATGACAAAATCACTTGTTGGTCTTATAGGTGTCAATTTGTCCAATGCTATTTGAGTTATCTTAATTCCACAAACTAACATTACATTTTTATTTTTATAGATAAGTATTTGCACTATTACCATGGCTTTCCTTCTCAAGTTTGAGGAATTAACTATATTACCGATTTTCGGAAGTTCAGTCTTATTGTTTCCTCCTTAGGTGTGTTGATTCTGTTCCTGGCTTTCTTTGCATTTCTTCACTGCTGGCTTAATGCTTTCGCTGAGATGTTGTGCTTTGCCGACAGAATGTTCTATAAGGTAAGCAGAAAGCCAGGCCACAGGTTAGAATCCTGTTGAATCTATATGTGAAAAGAGTTCGTTTCACAAAAGCACACAAATCCATCTGTCTCACTTGTGGTGGGTTGGGAATTGCCTGTTGTGCAAATGGGGGAGTTTATGGGTACAATTTTGGTACCCATCCAGTGCAGCCATGCTAATAACAGTAGATTCTGATTGTTTGTGGATTACTATTAAAAATAGGCCCAACTAATACTGTACCATACCATAAACTCTGTATTGATATTAATATTAAAATGCGGTTGTTAAAAGTAATTAAAGAAAAAATAAAGGCAAAATTAACTTAATGTTACACAGTTTTACTGTATTATCCAAACATCTTTGTGAATGCAGTATTATTTCTTTGATTTTTTTTTCTGGTTGCTTGGCAGTTCTAGTTTTTTGAGTTCCAGATAATTGATGGCCTATTGCGGGGCTTCTCAAACTTTTTCAGTTGTAAAGCCCTTTTTGAAGCTAAAGTTTCTCGTGGAACCCCAGAAATATATTATATATAATAGGTTCTTGTGGGTTTTTTCGGGCTATAGAGCCATGTTCTGAGGCATTTCTCCTGACGTTTCGCCTGCATCTATGGCAAGCATCCTCAGAGGTAGTGAGGTCTGTTGGAATTAGGACAATGGGTTTATATATCTGTGGAATGGCTGGGGTGGGGCAAGGAGCTCTTCCCTGCTGCAGTTAGGGGTGAATGTTTAGCTGATCACCTTCATTAGCATTTGAAGGCCTGCCTGAGCCTGGGAAAATCTGTTGCTGGAAGGTGTTAATCTGTGCCTGGTTTTTTCCTCTCTTGTTTTGCTGTTGTAATTTTACGTTTTTTAATACTGGTAGCCAGATTTTGTTCATTTTCATGGTCTCTTCCGTTCTGTTGAAATTGTCCACATTCTTGTGGATTTCAATGACTTCTCTGTGTAGTCTGACATACACAGAGAAGCCATTGAAATCCACAAGCATGTGGACAATTTCAACAGAGACCATGAAAATGAACAAAATCTGGCTACCAGTATTAAAAAACTCTAAAATTACAACAGCAAAACAACAGAGAGGAAACAACCAGGCACAGATTAACACCTTCCAGCAAGAGATTTTCCCAGACTCAGGCAGACCTTCAAATGCTAATGAAGGTGGTCAGTTGAAACATTCACACCTAGCTGCAGCAGGGAAGAGCTCCTTGCCCCACCCGAGCCATTCCACAGATATATAAACCCATTGTCCTAATTCCAACAGACCTCACTACCTCTGAGGATGCTTGCCATAGATGCAGGCGAAACGTCAGGAGAAATGCCTCTAGAACATGGCTCTATAGCCCGAAAAAACCCACAAGAACCTAGTGATTCCAGCCATGAAAGCCTTCGACAATACATTATATATAATGTATATATGTCAGACATGGGCAAACTTTTTGACCAACATAAATTTAACAGTATTTCACTGGACAACCCCAGGGGCCATCCAATTTAACCCCTTTCTACCATTCAAAAAAGCACCATCAAAACACCCCCTGAGCGGTGGGAGGGAAATAGGGTTTTGGAAGCAACAACAACAATAACAACAACTCAGGGTGGTTTACAGACAAAAAAGGCAAACATTCAATGCCCTAAATAAGTACAACACATCAAAAATAATACAAAATACTGTAATGTAGGGGTCCCCAAACTATTCCCGGGAGCCGGATACAGCCCTTCAAAGTCATTTACCTGGCCCTCACTCAAGGTCAACCTAAGTCTTGAAAGCACACAACAACAACAACAACAACAACGCTATCTCATCAGTCAAAAGCAGGCCCAGACTTCCCATTGAAATACAAATAAGTTTATATTTGTTAAAATTGTTCTTCATTTTAATTATTGTATTGTTTTTAAGTGTTTTTGCACTATAAATAAGATGTGTGCAGTGTGCATATGTATTCATTCATTTTTTTTTCAAATTATAATTTGGCCCTCCAACAGCTTGTGGTACTGTGACCTGGCCCTCTGTTTAAAACGTTTGAGGACTCCTGTTTTAGTGCAATAAAGTTGGCCTTAGAAACCTGGCTACAAACATTAAGGTGTGAAAAACAAAGTGTGACGATGACTGTTCCTGCAGCCAAGATGTCCCTGACATTGTAACTGTCGGTTTTGTATACTTCTTCATAGGGTTGTGCTCTTTTGTGATCCCGTTTTTCTCTTGTAGGATTGGTGGAATTCTACATCATTCTCAAACTATTACCGAACCTGGAATGTGGTGGTACACGACTGGCTGTATCACTATGCATACAGAGACTTCCTTTGGGTGAGTCAAGTCATTCTCTTAACCATGTAAAATGCAGTTGGAAATACTTTCCAAAGAAACAGAAGGAGATTAGACAGCAGCGTTTTCTAATAAGGAAGATACAGAAGGCTATACTTAGATTTGTGCTGTTATAGCAATAGGCAATTTGTAACTGCATGCTGTAAATAACAGCTTTTATTGCATATTCTCCAGTAGTTTCATTGGTCTTCTTTGTCTCTATGTCACCAACAGTTTTTTGGAGAAAAATCTAAAGGTGCCGCTATGTTCTTAGTCTTCACGGTTTCTGCTGCTGTACACGAGTATGTCCTGGGCGTCTGCTTTGGTTACTTCTATCCGGTCCTTTTCTGCCTCTTCATGGGCTTTGGAAGTAAGTAACAAATGCACTATATTGCAGTAGGATTTGGGAAAACCTTGCTGAGAATATTTTCATTTAGATCACTGCCATCAATGCTTAATGTGTAAAATATGAGATGAAGGGGTTCAATCAATCCTACCTTCCACTCTTGATTTAAGAGTCCTGATTTCTTACCCCACAAAATCACCTCAATGCTCCTCCTCAGAAGCCCCCGATGGCGCAGTGGGTTAAACCTCTGTGCCGGCAGGACTGAAGACCGACAGGTCGCAGGTTAGAATCCAGGGAGAGGTGGATGAGCTCCCTCTATCAGCTCCAGCTCCTCATGCAGGGATATGAGAGAAGCCTTCCACAAGAATGATAAAAACATCAAATCATCCGGGCGTCCCCTGGGCAATGTCCTTGAAGACGGCCAATTCTCTCACACCAGCAGTGACTTGCAGTTTCTCAAGTTGCTCCTGACATGACAAAACAACAACAACAAACCCTCAGTGCTTTGGTTAATGAAAAAGCTACTTGGTCATATCATAATTTTGGTTGAAATATAGTGCTGTGCATCTTCGTTCTGGAACATTAGGGGAACAAGCAGAATAAGGCAATGTATGAGAGGGGATTTGAAGGTGTTGATGCTTCTTTTCCTCAATATCTTTCCATTCTGCAAATAAAGTATAGACTTTTTTCATTGTATACAATCCAGTTCATTGCACGGTCCTTCCCAATGTAGCGCAATGGAGGGACTGTCTAATGAACTACTCTTAATTCTCTGACTCGTGCAAAGTATTACCTTCTTATGGTCTTATAATGTGCTTCTAATTTTTGGTGTTCTTCGGATGACCGTCCTGGTCACTTTTCTTTGTTGACATCAGCATTGCAGTCAGTGTGATTCTTTCCATAGGAGCATTTGACAACAACAACAACAACAACAACAAAACTTTATTTTATATACCGCTCTATCTCCCCGAGGGGACTCAGAGCGGTTTCCAAGTAACATCATCAATATATACAAAGAAAACAGCATAAACATAAAATTAACAAGACAATATGAGCATAAAAAATTCACAATAGCACATATATATTTAAAACAATCCTGCCTGTTCAAGGCAATTTAAAAGGCCAGGCCGAGGCTAGTGCAATTTGTAGGAGACCCGCGAAATTAGGTAGAGTCTATGGCTGTTCATTTCCAGGGCCTAATAGGAGGAAGTAACCTGGGTAATTGGTAGAGAAAGATATGGCCATATTCAACAGTATCTGGGGCTGAGCTAGAACTAGTCGTCCTCAAAGGCTTGTTTAAACCACCAGGTCTTCAAGCTCTTACAAAAGGGGGGAGGGATGGGGCCTGTCTTATTTCTCTAGAAAAGGCATTCCAGAGTTGGGGGGCCACCACTGAGAAGGTAGAGAGCATGGTTGGTGCTTCTCAGGCCCTCTCTCTCGTCCCCACCAACCATGCTTGTGACGGTGGCGGGAGCAAAAGCAGGTCCTCCCCGAAAGATCTTAAAGTGCACGCCAGTTCATAGAATGAGATGCAATCGCGAAGGTATGTGGGCCCCGAGCCGTTTAGCGCTTTATAGGACATAACCTGCACCTTGAATTTGGCTCGGCAGCTTATTGGCAGCCAGTGAAGCTGTTTAAATAGGGGCATTGTATGCTCCCTATAGTTTGCTCCAATAAGGAGCCTGGCTGCCGCCCGTTGTACCACTTGGAGCTTCCGGGCTGTCTTCAAGGGCAGCCCCACATGGAGCACATTGCAATAGTCCAGTCTGGATGTAACCAAGGCGTGGACCACGCTGGCCTTCACGAGGTATGGTCACAGCTGGCGCACGAGTTTGAATTGTGCAAAAGCCCTCCTGGCCACCGCCGACACCTGAGCATCAAGTGATAGCGTTGAGTCCAGGAGGACCCCCAAGCTACAGACCTGCACCCTCTGGGGGAGTGTAACCCCGTCGAGCACAGGTTGCCACCCAATATCCCGGTTGGCCCCACGACTGACCAGGAGGACCTTTGTCTTGTCTGGATTGAGCTTCAACCTGTTAGCCCTCATCCAGTCCATCACAGGAGTCAGACACTGGTTCAGGGTCTGGGAGGCTTCCTTGGAGTTTGGTGGAAATGAGTAGTAGAGTTGGGTGTTATCTGCATACAGATGACACCCAACTCCAAAACTCTGAATGACTTCACCCAGTGGTTTCATGTAGATATTAAAAAGCACGGGGGATAAAATGGAACCTTGTGGGACGCCACAGATCAAAGGCCACAGGTCCGAGCAGGTATCCCCCAGCTTCACCAACTGGGAGTGACCCTCCAGGAAGGAGCGGAGCCACTGCAGAGCAATGCCCCCAAGACCCATTCCGGAGAACCACCCCAGAAGGATACCATGGGCGATAGTATCGAAATCCGCTGAGATATCCAGGAGAACCAACAGGGACACACTCCCCATGTCAAGTTCTCTTAACCTGCAATCTGAATGTTAGAAAGAGTGGGAAATGGTATCAAAAGGTGCAATCTGTTATAATGCTTGCAACCTGTCAGCTGTGGAACAAGAAGAGTACCTATGATATCCTGAATATACGCCTTTTTAATTTACTTTCTGTCCCTTCTTCAGTGGTGTTCAACTTCATTCTCCATGATCGCCGGAAAGGCCCAATCTGGAATGTCATTATGTGGACTTTACTCTTCCTCGGCCAGGGGGTCATTATTTGCCTTTATACCCAGGAGTGGTATGCCCATCGATACTGCCCTTTGAAAAACGTGAGTAACTCCCTTATAATAAACTAGCCATCCCCTGCCACGCATTGCTGTGGCCCAGTCTGTGTAAATGTGTTTTGTATGTGTATATGTATGTTTGCGTATATATATGTGGTTTTGCACATGCATTGTAATGTAATTTTTGTTTTTCAGCTTTTTAAGTCCCTTCCGCTCTGTTTTTCAGTGTTTTTATGAGTGATGGTCGCTTGTTGGCCTGATAGGTGTACAGTATCCAAATTTGGTGTCAATTGACGTAGTGGTTTTTGAGTTATGTTAATCCCACAAATGAACATTAGATTTGGTGAACACATTGAGTTGCTATTCCAAAATTATGTATTTGAAGCCAGAATTTAAATATAAAATTTGAAAACTAATTCCAGTTTTTACCTTTTATCATTCTAATTTAACAACTTTTAAATCTTAAGTGGAATGCAAGACTTCTAACCAAAAATATGGTTTGTGGATTTTTTCGAGGGAAAATCATATGTAGAAGCTGGACTTTACACACCAGTGAGAAAGTGGAAATTTGGATTTCAGGATACAATTGCATTTGTCCTACCAATATATTTTCCCAAACTTCTTAAAATATTCGTAAGTTGTTAAAAGTTGAGAACTTTGATTTTACCAGAACCTCGTTCCCTGAGTCATTAGTGAAGAATAGGAATAAGTAAAGCTTTTTTTCTAAGGGAAATAGCTGATCTGGGTATAGGAAATGATATTCGTAGAACTGGAGAGGATGAAGAATTAAGTGTTCAGATAAGTTTTAAACTCATGTTCTGTTTTTAATTTCTGTCTTGTGTATTTTAATATGTATTTTGTAGGAATACATTTTAATATATCTCTTTTATAGAAATATATTTTAATACGTGTATTTGTGGAATTTTTTACAACATTTGTGTGCTTTAATTATTCTGTAATCTGCCTTGAGCTATGAGGAGAGGCGGGTAAGAAATAAAATAATAATAACAACAAGTATTATTATTATTATTAGTAGTATTGACTTAGACCAGGGGTCCACAAACTTTTAAACAGAGGGCCTCCAAACTGTTGGAGGGTCAGATAATAATTTGAAAAACACATGAATGAATTCCTATGCGCACTGCACATGTCTTATTTGTAATGCAAAAATCACTTAAAAATACAATAATTAAAATGAATAACAATTTTAACAAATATAAACTTATGGGAAGTGTGAGCCTACTTTTGACTGATGAGATAGGATTGTTGTTGTTGTTGTGTGCTTTCAGACTTTGGTTGACCCTGAGCGGGGGCCAGGTAAATGACCTTGGAGGGCCGTATCCGGGCCCCGGGCCTTAGTTTGAAGACCCCTGACTTAGACTGACTGTGTCTAAAAGCCCCTGCTAGGTGGTCTTTTGCAGATTTAAATAGTGTATATGATGAGCAGATTTTTTACATTGTGTTAGAAGTGACTTGAGAAACTGTAAGTTGCTTCTGGTGTGAGAATTAGCTGTCTGCAAAGATGTTGCCCAGGGGATACCTGGGTGTGTTACCATCATATGGGAGGTAATGTCCCCGCATGTGAAGGTGGAGCTGACATACGGGAGCTCACCCTATCTCACAGATTCAAGCAGATGTTCTAGAACAGGGGTCCTCAAACTAAGGCCCGTGGGCCGAATACAGCCCTCCAAGGTCATTTACCCGGCCCTCGCTCAGGGTCAACTTAAGTCTGAAATGACTTGAAAGCACACAACAACAACAATCCTATCTCACCAGCCAAAAGTAGGCCCACACTTCCCATTGAAATACTAATAAGTTTATATTTGCTAAAATTGTTCATGTTAATCATTGTATTGTTTTAAGTGTTTTGTTTTTGCACTACAAATAAAATATGTGCAGTGAGCATAGGAATTCATTCATGTTTTTTTTTCAAATTATAATCTGGCCCTCCAACAGTTTGAGGTACTGTGACCTGGCCCTCAGTTTAAAAAGTCTGAGGAGCCCTGTTCCAGAAGAAAAAATATCAATAAAAAAATCTAACGCCTTTAAGAATATATTTGTGTTCATGTACATATCACATCCTTGCACCTCACACTCATGAACTTGTACAATATCTGATCTATGTTGTGACGCCAATGAATATTCACACACTTCCCTCATACACACATTTGTAGGGATGAGATGTAAGGATGGGAACCTGGACTTATAATCTTACATGTTTGACGTGGACAACTTCCTCACACACATTGAAGGCCTTGCCTTGTCCCACTTCCCCCAAATCAAAAAAATAATCAAAAGAAACCCACATATTAAAAGTTCTCTAGTTCCTCCAAGAGTGTTTCTAACGTTGGCTTCTCTTGTATGTTTCTTTTTTTTTTTAGCCCACTTTCTTGGACTATGTGAAACCACGTTCCTGGGCTTGCCAAGTCAAGATCTGAAGTCGTTTGGGTTTGAGGCTGGAAGATGTTCTTGAAAGCAAACAAACTTTGGGTACTCTTTAGTTATGGCAAACGATGGCATTTTGTCACTCCAGGTAGCTAGGGCTGCTGGGGGCTCTCGGCTACTTCAACCTGAGCCATTTCCATGCTGGTCATGAATCCTGCTTTGAAGGAATTTACAGGGAAGATTTTTGACTACTGCAAACACTGGTCCATATATCAATGTTTTCTCTCTTATTTCTGAAAAGGACAATATTGGGTGACCTTGGTTAGTCTTGCTCATCTGAAGATATTTATATGTTTATAGCATACTTTTGGATGTCTGACATCCCTGAAGCACATGCAGAAGACTCCCAGAGATTTCTGTGATTTAGATTGTGCAGGGAAAAAGACAAAGAACGGTTAGACATTTTCTTGCAGTTTCTTGTATTTTCGAAGCAGAACACAGGTGAGATTTTTACCAGTTCATCTTGCTGGACAGCCAAGGTCACTGGCCATTTGTAAGTGCATTTAAGGGTGCCTGAACAGAAGAGAAGCAATAGATGCGTAAATCCCTTTCTGCAGAAACGGCCATAATGTTTGAAGATGATTTTGATTGATCCGTCCATAATTTTTTTACTTGGGCAGCAACAGATATTTGTAGAAATGTTTAATTTGCCTACGACGAATAGACTCAGTCAGCTTCCAAGACTGAATGTTCTGAAGGATGTTTCTGTCTTTATGTGTGATGTATTGTGGAAGGTATACTTGAGGTTTCTTTTGCTGTTTGTAAGTTTTATTCCTTCTTTTTGAATAATATTAACCATAATAACAGTCATCATAATAAAAAAATATATATTGATGATTGAATGTATTTTTCAGGGACTTCCTTTTGATGATTAGTCTCTAATAACATTGGCACCAAGGATTACCATTCTCATCCATCCTCTGGTTTTTAATCTGGTAAAATGGACATAATAGTAAATACTAACATTACAATGTAACTTGAAAGTACAAGCCTGTTGGACTGTGAGTAGCTTTCATTCTTTGTGCTGCCAAGGAATAGTTAGTAATCTTGTGTGCTGCATTACAATACAGACAGAGTCCTGTTTTCTGGAAGATTGTTTGTATATGCTTGGGCCATTTTCTATAATAAAACCGAGCCCATTTGGTACCCTAAAGGTTGAACTGTTTGTATTTAACAGACCATGTATGTTCAGGATTTCCCTGAGAATCTACTCTCTGTAACATAAGTCCAAAGCAGATGCATTGATGCAATTGATAGAGCCTGGGAAAGTCACTTTTTGGACTGGATATCCCGGATTTAGGGCACTTCCACAACGATATTAAGTTCCCCTAGGGGTGAGAAAAGTGGTATATAAATACTGTAAATAAATAAATAAAACCCAGAATATCAAGGCAGAAAATCCCACAATATCTGCTTTGGACTGGGTTATCTGAGTCCACACTGCCATATAATCCAGTTCAGTGTGGATTTTATACAGCTGTGTGGAAGGGCCCCCAAGGTATTAACCAAAGATATTAACTTCAAATCTCTGCAATAACTTTGCATTTTTAAAAGTAAGTTGCAGCTAGGGGGCTCCTTTTTTTTTCATGCTAGGAGCGATTTGAGAAACTGCAAGTTGCTTCTGGTGTGAGAGAATTGGTCGTTTACAAGGACGTTTCCCAGGGAACACCGGGATGTTTTGATGTTTTATCATTCTTGTGGGAGGCTTTTCTCATGTCCCTGCATGAGGAGCTGGAGCTGATAGAGGGAGCTCATCCGCACTCTCCCTGGATTTGAATCTGCGACCTGTCGGTCTTCAGTCCTGTCGGTACAGGGGTTTAACCCACTGCGCCACCGGGGGCTCCTGATCTTTGGTGTAGAACAGTGGTTCTCAACCTTGGGTCCCCAGATGTTTTTGGCCTTCAACTCCCAGAAATCCTGACAGCTGGTAAACTGGCTGGGATTTCTGGAAGTTGTAGGCAAAAAACATCTGGGGACCCCAGGTTGAGAACCACTGGTGTAGAAAGAGAGAGTTTTTCACTTTGCCCCCACTGTGTCCTATGCAGGGGATCTTGAAGAGTTAGTTACATCAAACAATAATGCTCTCATTGTTGAAATATCATTATATTGGTAGTTGGACCCCATGTAACCTTTAGATCGGGGTCCTCAAATTAAAGCCCGGGGGCCAGATGCGACCCTCCAAGGTCATTTACCTGGCCCTCACTCAGGTTCAACCTAAGTCTGAAATAACTTGAAAGCACCCAACAACAACAACAATCCTATTTCAAAAGCAGGCCCACACTTCCCATTGAAATACTAATACGTTTATATTTGTTAAAATTGTTCTTCATTTTAATTATTGTATTGTTTTAAAGTGTTTTTTTGCACTACAAATAAGATACGGGCAGTGTGCATAGGAGTTCATTCATGTTTTTTTTCTTCAAATTATAATCTGGCCCTCCAACAGTTTGAGGAACTGTGACCTGGCCCTCTGTTTAAAACGTTTGAGGACCCCTACTTTAGATGAATGACTGCCAAACTCTGATCTTCCATGTGTTTTGGACTCCAGCTCCCAGAATCTCTGACTGCTGACTAAATTGAATGTGGTTTGGAAGTTAAAGTGCATAAAACTTGGAGGACTGGAATTTGATGAAAGCCTTTGACCAGGTATTTCAACAAAGCAGGTTTTGTAGGCAATTGGGAGTCTTCTCATGTCTTCCTAAAAGCCATTTGAGGTCTGTTTCAGAGCATGAAAAGGCAGAAAGAGACTGTGATGTGGATGACATGTGTACTCTGTGGACTTGACCTATTGCCTTGTGCTTGGCTTTGGGTATGGCATTTTTCAAATGCTAGGTGCAGACAGCTTTTCTATCATTCTAAGAACTAATATTGTAATGTCATATTGCCACACTGATTTATAGTGCAGGAAATAAATGGTAAATTCTTATACTGCAGGAAAAAAATACTGAGCGTGCTTGTTTGAATTACTATAGTGGTATGATGGAGTAGAGCAGGGGTCCTCAAACTTTTTAAACAGAGAGCCAGGTCACAGTCCCTCAAAATGTTGGAGGGTCGGATTATAATTTGAAAAAAACATGAATGAATTCCTATGCACACTGCACATACCTTAGTTGTAGTGCAAAAAACACTTTAAAAACAATACAATAATTAAAATGAAGAACAATTTTAACAAATATAAACTTATTAGTATTTTAGTGGGAAGTGTGGGCCTGCTTTTGGCTGATGAGATAGGATTTTTGTTGTTGTTGTTGTGTGCTTTCAAGTCATTTCAGTCTTAGGTTGACCCTGATCGAAGGCCGGGTAAATGACCTTGGAGGGCCGTATCCGGCCCTCGGGCCGTAGTTTGAGGACCCCTGGAATAGAGCAACAAATTAGGATTTCAAGAGAGAAGCATTGCAGTAACACTGAAAGGACAACCAAGTGGGGTACAGACATACCTGTCCTGGAATTTTGAACCACGTATTTTATACTTTGTATTTCATAGAAGACAATAGTTAAGAGTACATTTAAAGTTTTTTTTTTAAATTGGAAGCAATATTGCAGGTGAGAGAAAATGGCAAGTTTCCCATTTTAATGATAAGTATTTTCAATCTGAATCTGATTTTTCCTACAGAACAGATATATATATCTCACCACTGTATTTGTAATGGGAGATTCAGCACGGTGTAGTGGGGTTTAAATACTGGATGACAACTGGAGACTAGGGTCCAAATCCTTGCTTGGTCATGGAAACCTTCTGGGTGACTTTGGGCAAATCTTGCCAAGAAATCGCATGATAGATTGCCTTAGGCTTGCCGTCAGTCAAAATGACGTGCTATCAGTGCCATCAATGAAGGAGATATTTTATGGATAAATCAGTAAACTGTTAAAATGATCTTACTTTTTAAAATCCGTGGATTTTTAATGCACACAATTTTAATGTTGTTACTTCCAAATAAGATCAATTAAACTAGCATGTTATGCTAGCAATTAGCAAACGAACACAGTAGGGCCAAATATACCTAACTTATAAATACTACAGACAACAGAGATGGGTCCAGAGTGGTGTCTGTGGCAAGCTATCAAACATGCTGATGGGTTGTAGGCTTTTTTGGGCTGTATGGCCATGTTCTAGAGGCATTCTCTCCTGACGTTTCGCATGCATCTATGGCAAGCATCCTCAGAGGTACCTCTGAGGATGCTTGCCATAGATGCAGGCGAAACGTCAGGAGAGAATACCTCTAGAACATGGCCTTACAGCCCAAAAAAGCCTACAACAACCCAGTGATTCCGGCCATGAAAGCCTTCGACAATACTTTAAACATGTTGATAATCCACTTTGCAGAATGCGGAAATGAGGCCCCTTCTACACTGCCATGTAATCCAGATTATCAAAGCAGATAATCCACATAATATTTTGAACTGGATTCTATGAGTTTACACTGCCAGATAATCTAGTTCAAAGCAGATAATCTGGATTTTTATAGCAGTGTAGAAGGGAAATGAGAGAAGGACAAGCCCATAAATTTCCATCCCCTGATAAGGACCCTATTGTAAATACTTATTGACTAGGACCTTGAGTGTTGTTTCCCTCTTGAGAACTTCTCTGACTTTCTTTATATTTTATAGATTCTTAAATACTTCTGAAATCAGATTTTAATCAGATTGTCTACTTATGAATTGAAATCTGTTCTTGAAGTGTTACAGAACTTCGAAAGTACTTTCCCTATGGTTCATCCCATGGACTTCTTATATAATTTTTAAAGATCCAAAACCATACCAAATCACGGCCTAAGAAATGCACACAAAACCTACCCAAAGGATTATGGGTTTTAAATTGTATATATTATAAATATGGAATGAATCCAAATGAGTGAAAACTGCGAACGTATATCTACCAGAAACTAGCTCAGAGAGAAAACAGAACTGTATTAAACAAACTGAAGTCTATTGCTTCTTTAATCCCTTTTCCTTTGATATTGTGTATTTCGTAAATTGTGGGGAAGAATTAATAATTGGACAACAAAGTGCACAATCCAGTTAAGCCTGAATCTTTGACTGTTTATCATATGTTTCTGCATTTATTTGGCTAATATGGATGTGTCATTAATCAGTGCAACTTGGTTAATTTTTCTGAATGATGGAAGATGAAATACATAAATTGAATATTGTGAACAGTATTTGGAATATGTCCTGAGTCAGTACAGTCTTTCTAACAGCGCTAGCAGTGATTTAAAAGTACACCAACACATCTTTAGAAAAGGATGAGGAGTGATCTTTGGCCAACGCCTTGTGTGATCTCCAAATGATCTGATAAAGCACACACGGATGAACAAATACCCACTGCTTGTAAAGTCTGTTTGCCTATAGTTACTGGTTCTTTGTAAAGCTGTGACCCTTATCATGTGCTTTAGCCATGGTAGAAGGGCTACAAACAGCATACGTGCATCTTTGTAGAACTGCTAAACCAGTGTCAACAGGGTGAAATGGTCCATCCTGTAGCCCGTCTGATGATGTGAGCTTTGTGTATATGAAGGTGGAGTACATGTTTTCCTAAGACGGTCTTGGAATCGTCTGAATAACTTCCATACATGAACCTATGGCATCAGAATAACATTTTATAACTTATCAAATCAGTCCAGTTTTTGGTGGAGAACTATTTGTATTTTGTCCTTTGGTTTTGAATTTCTGAATGTAAACACAATAGTAGGACATAATCTTTTAATGTATCTTTTGTGCCAAAAATATGCCCAGTTTGATTACTTGCAAGGCATTTTTATTAGACCAGGCATCCTCAAACGGTGGCCCTCCGGCTGTTTTGGCCTCCAACTCCCAGAAGCCTAGCCAGCTTGTTCAATAGTCAGGAATTCTGGGAGTTGGAGGCCTAAACAGCTGGAGGGCCACAGTTTGAAGATGCCTGTATTAGACTGAGTATTGATGGATAGGGCTGCTAGAATCGCTCAGTAAATAATGGGGCTCTAACTTCCCTTTTGCTCATAGTGAGTAACAGAAACATTTAGAGATGCCAGTGAAATGAAGTAAAACAGAGATGGCATTGGAGTAGGAGCCCTGAAATTGCAGAATATGTGTAACATTACAAGAAGGAAAGTTGACCATTGTCTTAAGTAATTCCGAAATGTTTTGAATTGTATGTTGTGACTTGTTCTGTTCAA